TTCGAGATCGCAGAAAAGGATCGCGCGGAAGGGTTGAGCCTTGACCCAGAAACTCGAGCCCTTTTCGTCGAGTGACGTCGGCGTCCGTTCGTCCTACCGAGGGTGTGTAACACGTGGACTCGTGCAACTTTTTCCCGCGACGACGTAACGCGCCGAGAGAAGTCAAGTGGTTCCTAAATGTCAATTTAGGAATAATTCTAATTCCTCGCTATCGTCGCTCGACGGTATTTTAGAACGATATATTTTGGTTCGAATTTTTCTGCCCGTTTTGTCGTCGCAAATTCCCCGATTCCGTTCCTTCTTCTCTTTAATTAAGAACGTAAAATAAACGCGGCGTACTAGTGAATCTTCCATGAAGCCTTAGCGGGATGGCTCGAGGATTAAATGACTCGCGAACTCTTTTGCTTACTAATGTAAGATTGGCGATGATCCAACGGTACTCGAAACTTTAATAAACTAACCGTTGAGCGTCCAATTACGTCAGTCATCGTTTGCGGAATGTAATTAAATTTTGACGTGTGCCACGTTTCTCCTCCTCCCTCTCTTTCCTTCGTTCTAATCGGTTCACCGCGATCGCTAAGCGTTAAATGAAGATTAAACATTCTCCCTGTTGATAATATCTAATGTATATTGCATTTAATATGTGTATTAAACTTAACTCTCCCATCAGCGGGTCTCTTAACCTAATCTTGTCAGACAAGTAGCAAATTGCTTGGCAGATTTATTTGCGATCGCCATCTATCTCCTTCTCTCTTGTTACTCGTCTCTTACGATGTTCTTCCGTTTTATTAAATAACGATGTCAGCGGGTGAAAAATCTATCATACTCTCGTTCGAATGAAAGGTTTCGCGTATCTCCGATTCGAAGTTTCATTAATTACAGATCGCAGGCAGATGCATGTTACAATGGCACGAGCGATTGCATCATTTTTCTCTCCTCCCCTTCCTCTTTACATTCCTATCTTTCGCGATAAAATAATACAAGTTCTCAAGCGTGCGATGATAAAGCCCAGCAATTTGCGTGCGCGTATCTCGATGGACCATTGTCGCAACCCCACTTCCGTCGAATGAAAATTCACCCGCGGCGAAGAAAGGTTCCTCGCTACGCGTAAGAGATTGAGACCTTGACCTACGAGAGTAAGAATTTTTTTTTTTACGAGAAAGCCTACTCGTCGCCGAAAGCCGTCATTGTGTCGTACCTACGAGAAGTATCCTATGTAACTTCTCTCCGCAGAATCTCACGATAAAGTTCCTCGATAGGAATCCTCTGATAGAAAATCGGCGACTACACGCTTCTTCGTAGATAGGCGCGCCGTGTGGGTGACGAGGGTGGCGGAGGGTGGAAGGTGTGCGCACAGACGCTCAAGTGGGGCAAAAGGGAACCACTTAGCCGAAACTGCAGGAGTCTGGGAGTCAGCAGCTATTCGGCAGACGTCACTGGCGCCAGCGGACTACCTTAAAGCCCAGCCACCCCCCTGGCCACCCCTTGGCCACCCCCCGCCGCCGACAATCTCATTCCCCAAAAGCGTCGCAAGAATTATAAAGTTGGTGGAGGAGAGAAGAGAAAGAGGCGACGAAGGCGACGGTGAGGGGGAGAAAAAGGGGGACAGACTTCTTTCCTTGCCACCCACCCTTGTCAGACGAGCGATCCCCCTTCCCCTCCCTCCCCTCCCTCGTCCCGCAACCTACATGCTCTACCTCGATCTATCGTGTTGCATCCCTTGGTCTTCCTCCGTATCTACTCTCTTTGTTCCTACTCTTCTCCCTCCCCTCCTCCCCCTCCTGGCTCCCTCGTGTCGCTCTCTTCTCTCTGCCACGGTACTTTTTTATTTCGACTTGGAAGAGAAGAGTTTTCTCGAAGGAACCGATCTACCTCGGGGTGGGGAGCGAGTTTCGAGGTTCGATCGCGAGTTACGAAGGATCCGCGCGGATCCGAAAATCTGTTCTCCATTAGCGCGACGCCGACCGGAAGTCGTTCAATTAGAGTCATATACCGTGTGATCTCGAAATAATCCGGCGCTCGAGAGACCCCATTGTTATTTTTCCAACGACGACGAAAGTTTCGGCGAAGAGAGGCGAGCGCGCACGGCGCTCCCGTTTAATGAGGGACGCTTCTCTCTTTCTCTCTCCTTGTAGTTTTCTCTCTTTCGCAGTTTTCGCTCGCGGCCCGAGACTACTCTCGCGAGTAGTTTTACAGGGCGATGCCGTGATAAGGCCGGCCTTAAACCATCCACCCTCTCACTCGCCCTCCGAGATTCTTTCCTTTATCGCCGTGCTCGATAAAACGGAGCGATCCTCGAATTATCACGTTATCGACTCTCCTCTCGTTATCTGTGGGCCGGCAGAACGCACGGTTTTCACCGTTGTTCTACATACGGACAATGGGTGATGAAAATTTTCGCTGGCTTTAGTTTATAATCTCGTGTGCACTTCGCAGGACTCACTTATCTCAACTCGATCGTATATTTTTTCTTCTGCTTATTTTTCATCTCTTTCGGCTTTAAATTTTTGAGAAACACGATTTATCTGCCTTCACATGTTTTTTCTTTTTGTTGGTTAAATCTGAAATAAAAGGGACAACTCGTGGCAAGTTTCATCAATCTGTTCAGCGAAGTAATCGCGTTTTGGGATGAATTGTGTTAGAGTGCTCAATTATTGCGGATCAGTTACGAGACCCTCCAAACTGATTCTGGATCTCATCTTGAGTGGAAATTCAGCCCGTGAAAGTGATCGAAAATATTTTCTCTAACGACACACACACGCGCGCGCGCGCGCGCGCGAGGAATTTTTCCAGAGCCCGCGCGAAGAATTACCGTAGAATTTTTCCCGTCAGAGCGTCACGGTAGCGCCGCCGTCGCGTTGAAACGTTCGTGCCTCGGAGCGCGTTTCTTACGCGTCGTACTGCGTTTCGCTCCGGCGGTATCGGTTTTATCCAGACACTCGAATTTATGCCCTTTCCGCCAGACGGTAAATGGATATACAGTCGGACGGGGGAAAAAAAGGAGCGAGAGCGCGAGAGAGTCGGTGAGAGAGGAGGCGGCGGGCGGAAAGGGGAAACAAAAAGACATCGATCCCCCGGAACTAACGGAGATCGGCGTGCACGCCGGTTTCATACGCACAACAAACTACTGGAACGGCCGCCGGAGGCGTTAATATACCGGGGCGTAAGCCCGGGGGCGGTATTTTTTCGCGGCGCGCGTTCGCCGCGCTGAAAAATATTTTTCTGAAAGCTAATATCTCTCTCGGGCCGATATTCCGCCGTGTAAATAATATCCGCGCCCGTAGGGACAACAAAGTAGGCTGTCATGTGAGTGCAATCGCCAAAAGAGGCTCTCGCGCTGAGGGCGGGGTAGGGGGTGGAGCAGAGAGAGAGAGAGAGAGAGAGAGAGAGAGAGAGAGAGAGAGAGAGAGAGAGAGAGAGAGAGAGAGAGAGAGAGAGAAATGAGCCGCGTGGCCGCTGAACACCGCGTCATTTTTCCCGCAACAGCCGCTCTTTGCGCCGCACTTCGCCCCCTTCGCCCTCCTCGCTGATCGTCGCTCCACGCTCGTGAGGCCGCAAAGAACCGAGCGGGGAGAATGACTCTCGCGGTTCGGGGAATAATTTCGATCGAGTCGGTCGTTGTCTTTCATCCCGCCGTTAAAACGCGATAAGTGCGTATCGTCACCGCGGCGATTTCTGCGGCCGAGACGTTGGCGTGAGTTCGCGAGTGAATCGGAGGACCATTACGCCTCGTCCTCGACGTCTCTCCTCGGTAAGAAGAAAAAGATGATCACGGTGGTCACGCAACGGTCGCGGCAGAGATGACAGCGGAAGTCAACATTCAGTCAGGTTGCAAGTAGCATTCGAACGGCAAGCACACGCTAGAACGCGATTACTAACGGAAGATTAATATCGTCGAACGCTCATTCGCGCGCGCGCACGCTCACGCGCTTGCACGCGGCGTTTTTATCTCCATTAGCGCGACGACGATGAGAGAATGACGGTAACGACAATGTCGACGGCGACAGCGACGGCGGCGGCGGCGGCGGCCGGCGGCGGCGGCGGCGGCGACGACGATGACGTCGACGACGACGACGACGTCGACGACGACCGCGACGAGATGGGAGGATAAAGCTGTAATTACACGCCGCACTTGTGCGTGCGAAAGATTAAAAGGCGCCGCGGCAGCGAAGTGGGAGTTATTTTAGTCGCGTTGTTGCGAAGTACCAACGGCAAAAGCGATTTTCCGCGAGAAATCGCGTTACATTTTTACACCGCTCTCCTTCCGTTGCCGCCGTAGTCACCCCTCCAAAGAGAGCGGGACAGATAGACAGAGACGGAGAGGCGCAGTATAGAGAGAAAAAGAGTGAGGTGTGAAAAAGGAGCCGACGTAAAGCGACGCGAAAACGTTTTAATTTTTATCGCAAGCTTTACAGAGCACTCTCCGCTACTGCCAGCCACGAAAGCGGGGTTAGAGAGGGAAGGAGGAAAAGAGAGAGAGGGAGGGAGAGAGGGAGGGTGGGAGAGGGGGAGAGAGAGAGAGAGAGAGAGAGAGAGAGAGAGAGAGAGAGAGAGGGATCGCATTATCCGGACGCGATTACCGGTGTAATATCACGTAAATCGCCCAAGGTCGCCGCAAAGCGACGCGAGAATATTTTACCGCGCCGTAAACGAACGCTTCGCGAAATGACGTAGAAAGGGAGCATCGCCTCGCGCGTGAATAAATAGCCGAGTGTTCGCGTACGCTGCACTCCTCTCTCTCCGCCCGGCTTTTTGTCAAAGAGAACCGTTTTATTCATTGAAATCTACAAAACATATTAATACAATACTGCGAGACGCATGTAACGCGCTCGCACGCAGGCGACGCATTTAGAGTTAAATAGGCATTCTTCGCAGCGGTCGTTTGTCGGGGATGTTGAATTTTGGCTTCTCACGTCCTCCTCGCTCTTGGCGCGTCTCGCAGACGGGAGAACGTAGTCGCGTTTGTTCGCGTTTAACGCGAACACGCAGTCGTCGAGGGGAGGGTGTCTTCGCGCGAGAGCACCGCAACCCTCGCGAGCGCGTTGATTGCACTTGACGCTCGCGCTCCTGCGCGATTTCAAACGAAATGCGCGACTGTTTTGACGCGATCAGCAATATTGCGTTAAGGCTCTCCATAAAACTCGCGGCTCCCGGCGATATGTTGTTACCTTGTTATCGTGCCCAAGTCAATAGCGATTTCGCACAAAACACCGTCCGACACCCGTCCGCCCGTTGTACGAAGGTATCGGCACGCAGGGGGCGGCGGTACGAAACCTTGAAGCGATTTATTAAATATCGCACGGCCGAGCACTGTGTCACGACATGAGTATGCGATATTGTTTTGGCTGCAAGGGCCGAAAGGGGTGGGGAGGAGGTAGCGGGGAGCGGAGAAGGCAATCAATGACAGGCCTCTGGCCCCTGCTCGCCCCCTGCCGACAGAAGGATCTTGCACCCTTCGTTCGAGGCTACGTGATCGGCCGCGCGCGAGAGCGCGTGAAGCGACGTGAAGCGGCAGGAGGAGGGGGAGAGAGGGCTCGGGAAGGATCCCGAGCGAACTTCCGTATGATTAATCAGCCACGCGAGAATGATGTATCGACCGGCGGATCTCAGCACCTCGCGCGGCATGGATATACGTCTCCCTCTTATCCCGGCCGCGGCCACATGTTAATGTGCCCGTAAAATAAAATTATCCGCGGCCGAGAGGCCGAGCGGCGGGATATATTTGTATCTTCCCTCCGCGCCTCGGAGTCGCGACGGCTATTGAGCAACGGGCAGTTATCAGCGACCGGCCGTGGAATATTTGTGACTCCCGTCGCGGCGCGCCGGGCGATCGTGAAACGGCATAAAAATAGTACACGTGCGCGGGAATCTTATCGGCGGCTTCGCTCGAGCGATACGCACAAGGTACCGACGACGGGCTTTCCCTTTTTTTTTTACAAATCTCGAAACAAATTCGAGATAAGTGATCACGCTTTATATTCTAGCTGAACGATCTAGTGTATCGGCACTCTAGTATCTCATCGTATGCTCTTAAAGAGCGTAAAGAGCGAGCGCGTGCGTATCGGGGCGCGGGAAAAAGGCGGGGGGGGGGACTCCCGCGAGTTGCCACTGCGAGATTCGACCTGTCGATAGCTCATCTCGATAAGCTGAACCGATGCACGTGAGAATGACGGGGCTCCAGAGAGAGAGACTCACCGATGAGCTGCCCTTCGGTCGTCCCGCAGAAGTTATCCCGCCCGTCGGACAACGGCATCGGCAAGGACGATGGGGGTGTCGAGGGCAGGGGGGTTAACTGCTAGTGAACCCACGAGGGGGGCGCCGCGGGGGTCGCCGCGTTCGCACTGACGTAGACGGCCGCAGGTGTGTTGCTGGTCGTCGTGCCGACGACGATGTCGCTGTTCTGGCTGACGGCGCCGTTCTGGCCGATGTTGCCGTCGCTCACCTGGATCGCGGCGGTGCCCATGACGCCCTGCTGGAAGTTGAAGTCCAGCGTGCCCTCTATCGACAGCTCGTGCTTGATCACCTGCAAATCGCGAGTCGAACGGCGCGTTTACCCTCACGAGAAGAGACAAGTCCGTCGTTTCTCTTCGAATAAGTCTTGACGTGGAAAGTCGTTCGTGGGAAGTTCGTTCGTCGGGCTACAGTCGCAATCTAGTTTACTCGCGACCCGAGCGAGGAAACAGAAACTGAAGTGAATCTTGTGTCTCCTTTCTCCAGATCCAAAAATCAGAATTCGAACCGAGCACGAGGTGCGGATTATGATCTTTCAGTGCGAAGAAAGAAACGCGCAATCGAACGCGGTGCGTTTACGATTTCGATTGGAATCGCGCGAAAAATTCGATCTACGAGAAAGTTACAGCTACAGCCAGTAGTAACAGACAGACGTGTGCACACATGTAAGGCGCGGCCAGACTTACTTCGTCGACGTTGCAGTGGAAGGCGCCGTGCATCGCCTCGATGTTGATGTTGAGATCATCGAGAAGGGCGGAATGATTGAGGGCGCCCATCAGCTGGCCCATCATAGTGCTGGGCGTAGCTGGGCAAGGTGTCGGTGTGTTGGGCGGGCTGGGACCTGCTGGTCCAGTCTGTGCTGACTGGTGTTGCTGCTGCTGTTGCTGCTGCTGTTGCTGCTGCTGTTGCTGCTGCTGCTGTTGCTGCTGCTGCTGTTGCTGCTGCTGCTGCTGCTGCTGCTGACGCTGTTGGGTCTGAATCATATATTGCAGCGTCTGCTGCTGGTTGTTGCCTAACATCGTCGGGCTGGGCTCGCTCTGCTGATACGACGGTGACATGCCAGACACGGGGCTCAGATTCTGATTTTCGGGTTTGGAAAGAGGAAAAACGCAATGTTTGCTGTAGTTGTACTTGATTCGCACTCGATTCGTCGAATATCGATTTTCGAGTTTGTCGCGCGTTAAATATGCCTGAAATCGTTAGGAATTCAGCAAATTTCGCGCGTTGAAGATTATTCGATTGCTCGGCGCAATTAGGGCGAATTCATGAACCCTTCAGAAATATTTCGCACATTTATCTCTCTCTCTCTCTCTCTCTCTCTCTCTCTCCCCCCCTCTCTCTCTCTCCTTCTCTCGCTCGCTCGCACGCACGTGTGTTTGCATATAACGCGGTAAAATAAGTAACAAAACTTGATCGTGATGAAAATTTGATCCGTTAAAATTGATCAATTACAACGGGCAATGTGTCGCTGCCTCGCCCGAGTGTGTTTGTATTTGTAGCGTTATTGAAAATACGTCTCGCTGCAATTTCATGAGCGCATATGATGCTTTTTTAAACCAGTTTCAATAATGAAATGTAAATAAGTCCTCCGCCGTACTTTCCGTCGCAAATCTCGCACGAGGCAACAAAAATATCGACCATCATGATTCGTAAATAGCGCGACCATCATGGGGAAACAGTCGGGGTTCAAATTATGGGAGCGAAGGAGCGATATTCTCCGAGTCCCGCCTGCGACGGAACCGCGACGACACGTCCCTTTCGTAAAACCGCGCCGGGTTGCTTAAACCGACTTAAACCGAGAACCGGCACGGTCTCTCGATATAATTCGAGACAGTCGTATCGTTCGAACGTCACATCCGTCGTCCGCGAGCTACGCGGCGGAAGCCGCGACCGAAGCACGGTGGCACTCGTACGGACCGCCGCGGCCGTACGTGTGTGTAAAACGTACATCTCGCGATCCTTATTGATTTTGCAACATTGCCAGGCCCGAACATGCGCATCATAAAAACATCGGACGTCCTCCTTTGCAGTCGAGCTCGCGCGAAAAATCCGCAACCGTGTCGCGCCACGCCGCGTCGCGTCGCGTCGCGTCGCGTCGCGTCGCGTCGCGTCGCGTCGCGTCGCGTCGCGCAACGTCGCGTCGAAAAATCAAGACCCACCATCTGACAAGCGCACGGCTGCAGGCCGTGAAGCGGGCATCTCTGCTGATTGGCCGACTGCGGGGTGGGTGGCAGGCCGAAGGATGACGGGGTGCGTAGGCCGTTGTTCCTCTGGTACTCGAAGTAAGACGGCGGGGCTGGTTGCTGCTGCTGGTGGCCGGGCGGTGACGTCTGATACATTTGGTACGACTCCAACTTCATCGTCTCCGCCAGGTTGCCTGCTAGGATCGAGTCTGCTGTCGAGTATGACATACGACGTATTAATCGCGCAGCCAGCCGCGGCCAGCCGGAACGGAGAGGTGTGGTCGCGCTCAGAGAGGGAAGGTGGGAGGGAGGGAGGGAGGGAGGGAGGAGGTTTACTTCGGTTCGGCTGCGAGAAGAACGTGATTCGCGATCCGTGACGCGAGTCCAGGTTCAAATTAATTTCGAAGTTGCGAGTCGCTCGGACGTTGAACGCGGGAGACAGGAGGCGAATCGTCGGACGTGAACAAATGGTGCTAATAATTTATTTTGACTCGACGCCGTACCTGCCGTGCGGGAAAGCGGCATCGGGCTCTGCGTGAGATCTGCGAGAGCCATTTCTTAAATTTACGTTGACACGCGAGAGAGGACGCGGGATATATATATATATATATATATCGATATTAAATACGTACCTAACTGTTGTTCCGGGCTGTAAGAAGGCGCATAGGTCGGTGTCCAGTCCGGCTCCCCGAGAACCGCCGGGATCGGGCTCAGTTGGCCGCAGGAGGACGCGTTACTCGAGGCGCGAGGACTTGAATAACAGAAATATCTCGGTTCGCGTCTCAAGCCGTATTCTCTCAAACCGCTTCCTATTTATACACCTCATATCTCGAGTACGTCTAATTCCTCATACACACACATGAGGTTCCGCGTTCCCATAAGATAACCGCAAACCGTATCATTATGTCAATTCTCCACATCCTACTCCGTCGTCCATCTTTAAATAATCCCACATACGTCGCGGAGCCATTCCTCGACTCTTTAAGACTAGCTCGGCGAGCCTCAAATTTGCAAACATGAGTTCTCATCGAGCCTCGTTAGAAGGCTCGCTTCGACTCGCGTCGATCGAAGTCGGGTTCTCTACGAGGAAACGGCGGGCTCAGTTTGTTCCGTTTCGCAAAAGCTAAAAACCGACCGTAACGAGTGCAATCGCAAAAGCATGTCTTTACCCCTTTTTTCAGTCAGTCGATTGACAGTTGCTCGCTCACAGACAAACGCGAATCGCGAACGGTTATCGATGGGCAACGTACCGGAACGTGTCAGACGAGAGCTGAAATCCGCTGGCGGGTAGAGGGCTGTCCGGGTAGATGTCGAGACCTTCCCCGACGCTGCTGCTGGGACTGGAAGTGGGTTCCGCCAGCAGCGCGCCGTTCCTCAGAGCGTCGGCGATCTTCTTCGAGCGGCCGCGTCTTTTCTCCAGGCTACCAGTGCTCTCCATCGTTGTGGCTCTACGCAAAGCACACACTCCGCCATTCTCGGGAACGCTCTCGGTTCGCGGTGTCGCAATCGCGATTGCGCGAGAACTTACCTGCGACGAGCAGACTTGCCAGGTTTGGCATCGCGATTGATCATCCACCAGGAACTCTTGCCCGTACCTTCGTTCTGCGTCCGTATGAACCTGTTGTGCAGCGACAGGTTGTGGCGTATGGAATTCTGAAAGCAAAAAGAATTGCCAAATCAGCGGAAGCTTCTTCTTCCATCCGCGCGCGCGCGCGTACTTAAGTACATCATTTCACCGCATCTCTAGTCTTTTTCGCATGGCGACAAGTTTCAGAAATTGATATAGTCGCAGAATCTCTGCGTCGCGGAAGATCAGCGTACAGAAGGGAATCGACTAGTAAATTTATGATTTGAGGAAATTAAGTGTGTTTGCAATAGCGATTCGTGATAATCAAACTGCTCAGTGGACTTCTTTCGCAATCCGCCATCGATCTGAATGGCCATCCGGATAGACAATACAGACAAGGGTCTGTCTTGCTCCTCGATACCACGACTCCGCGCGCGCGCGCGTCCATACGAGAGTATCGTAGGAGAAAAAATCAATTCGAAGAGTGAATCATAGGAGCCGCGCTTTATAGTAGTTCCCCGTCGACGCGGAGTGTAGCGCCGCGTCGCTCTCCTTTTGCCCCCTTCATTAGGCAAATTGAATCGGCCGCGAGTGTAGTCCGGGTCTCGGAAAAATTTCGGAAAGCTTCTACCCTAATACGAAAGTATCCGTCGCGAAGCGATAACAATTTCCTTTCGTCTTCGTCTCCCGACGCGAAGCGGGCGCGCGCCTCGCCTCGCCTCGCCTCGTCTCGCCTCGCCGAGGGATACTTTCAGATACGAAGGACGCGCGCGCACGTAGAGACGGCGCGATAAATAAAAATGGCTCCTTTAAACTGGCCATTATATCGCGAACGAGACAGGCGGAAGTTGATGCGAAGTACCGCGAAGAACCGTTGCCCAAACTCGCCGGCGTTTTATCGTTTCGTTAAGTCGCCGTCCTAAAACAGGGTCGCGGATTGTCAACCTTGCAACGGACGGAAAATAATCGTAAAAGTATATTCTCTTGAAAAAAAAATTTTTCATCGCAACGTTTCACGTCGACCAATGCACACGAAGCATGCCTGATTGATCGGAAGGTTTATTTGATCCTCTGTAGGATATTTCCCCCCCCCGGTCGGAGGTCGGAGTCTGCGAATGTATACGACTACAGGTGAGCGCGCAATTTTCCCAGGCTAGCCGTTAACAGGATTGTCGAGGAGCGAACGTCTTATTTTCGTAAATCTCGACGATGACTCGCCGCGAGTGATACAATCGCGCAAGATCTATCGCTCGGCTGTTACATTCAATTTACTCGGACGGCGCACGACGCGCCGTTTAACATCGCGAAATTTATAACGCGGAAACCTACGCTATGTATTCTTTACTACCGGAAAGAAACGGCTCCCGCGTTCGCCGCTCTCTCTCTCTCTCTTCCTCCCGCTCATGCGGCGCCGTCGCCGCATGTCCCTTCCGATATCAATCCGCGGATTAAAAAGGACTCGCTCGCGCGCGTGCATCCATCCTGAATCCGTTGGATCCACGTGGCGGTGTAAGCTCCGATTGCGTTGTTGATGTAACGTAATATCGCGGTCCGTACGACCGCATAACAAAACGGAATAAAGCCCCGCTCTGGCCGGGCACAGGTACTTCCGTTTGTTTTGCCGTATTCGCTTCCGCATGCGATAAGCTCACCCCGGCCGAATTAGTCCCGGTCGGTCGGCAAATAAGCTGCGCGGCATAAAATCCGCGGCTTCGTCGTTATTTTTACTGCGACTTAGCGGCGTTCCGCCGCCTCTTTACTGCCGCTTACGCTCTTCTCAAACTTGACCGATCGTCTTCCCGTCCGACTTTCGAATGTTCCCCGCGGGCAAGTCCCCGGCAAGTCGAAAGTATTTATCGATAGGTCCCCGAAGCGGTCCGCGATATCAGCGGAGGGTGGCTTTTACGATCGCCAGCGCGACTCATTTCATCCCCTTGCGATGGGCTCGCGAGCGAGCGGGGAAGTTGTTGCGTGTCTCTCCCTCTCCGTGGAATGGCGATCGGCCATTCCAGTCGTGCTCGCAGTCGCGAGCTATACGGCGGGGCTTTATAACCCCATCATCTACCCGCCTTTATCGACGCTACGCTCCGAAGATGAAGACATTTTCGGCGCCACCGTTCTGATTTTTAGATCGAGCCGGCCGCCGTCGGCCGGCTGTCGAGCTCGCGCTCGACGAGTCCCGACGAGGACAGGCTCGAAGAAATGCGATATCTCGGGAATCAATTTCGAATTTCTTCCCGAAATTGAGAGAGAAAGAAAGCGAGAAACGATAAGAGTCGATACGATCGTCTCGCCTCTCCGCGAGACTAATACTCCGTCTAAACAAATCCTTCTTGGCGGGGAAAATATGTGGCAATTCTCTCGCACGAGAGAGTCCTCGCGATTTCTCTTCCTTCGCGTCTCCGACTACGACGCGACTCTTGACCGCCGATAAAGCGCGGCACTTTCGTCCGCGTCCCTATAAACCGCGCGGAAACAGCCCCCGTCCAAGAGCGAAAGGAACGCGACGAAGATGACCGCGCGCGTGAGATGGGGAGGGTAGAAGTGAGGCGGTTATCTCGCGCGCCCGAATAGACTGTATAACGCGCAATTTATGGAGAACGTATATAGCCTCTGCCGCGTTTCGACCGGCGTTTGGCTGCTGCTGCGTGCGGGTTAGAATACGCGCGTGATAAGGGACGTTGGAATCAATGCTCGAAAGAACGAAAGTCCGTCGGCGACGGTGGGCGCGATTAGTCGTGTCCTCTTCAAGGTCGATAGGGCAAACGGGTGTCTCGGAGAACGGCGCGACGGCAATAATCTGAAGGACAAGCACTAAACTAAGCGAACTTTTACGCATCCTTGAGAATTGTTCCAGAAGAGTCTTGTTTTTTTTTTCTTTCTTTCTTTCCTGGAAGAGGCAACTTGCACGCGTGATTCGCTCAGTGGCAATCGCGAAAATATCAGCCGATTACCCGGACAGTAGTATGGCCGAAATAAATGGACGCGCACATAACAATCGCCAGAGTTTACGCGAGATAAAAATGAGATGTGTTCTTCGCTGAGAAAAAAAGACTCGCCTTAATAAAACCGTAGTCATTTTCGAGCGTCGTATTTGCTTATTTAACCTTTTATATTCTGAATTAATTTGTCCGAGATTTTATTAAATTTTTGTGTAATTAAATTAACAGGATTCAATAGCTTCCGGCATTTATTATAAACATAAGGAATAGGAAAATAAATTTTAGAATAATTCAATAATTACATTTTAAGGTGGTACTTATGAGGTATCGTCAGAATGTAAAAGATTAAAAGAGAAATAATGGCGACAGTAAAATATATTTAATATTATCAAGTACTACAAGATAGTAATCGTTACCGGAATGATTTTGCTGATCATAATTAATCGTTTTATTGCGCATTTATAGCCACAAACATCAGACACTTACTCCAGTGTGCGTGCCGAGTATGCGAAAACGGGAGCATGCCGTAATTTGTATTCGTCGAGTTTATTTTATCAACGTGTGTTAACACCCGCGTAATCTATTATAGAACCTTTCGCGGCGGATCGCACAATGTACACGCCGCTCTGCCATTCTCTATCTCCGAGAGAAAGAGAGATGAAGAGCACTATCATCGGCTTTTGATTTAGATGCATAATGCCGCGTTGCGCGCACAATGCGCTCGCCGGGAAGAACGGGGACGGTATTCTTGCCCGCGATCAATTACATCTCGGTTTCGACAGATTGCAAATGGCCTTTCCGATACGGGGAACACGCGGAAACGAGCGATCGCTCGTTCACAGAGAATTCGCGATTATCATCGACGGCCAAGGAAAGGGACGGCCTGAATAATAGATGACGATCGTTAGGTAACTCGCGAGCACGGAAGCTTTAATTCTTAATGCGCGCGTGGACACAGAAAAGAGGCAGCGCCGGCCACGAACGATTTGTCTCAATCGCCTCGTGCTTCGAGGATGCCCCCGGCTGTTTCGACATGCACGTGCATTTCGCGGTCATTTCGTGTCGTGCCGGGCACGGAAGGAGACGGGAAATCCGCGAAGGAAATTACACGCGAGGCTCGTGGAATGCGCGCCAAGAGTCGCGCACACATGGGATCTCTCCGTCGTGTCTCGCCGCTTGATATCAATTCTTACTCGTAGGAGGGCGGCAGCGTGAGAATTGACAGAAGAAGAAATTTGTGTAGCGGTGAAGAAATTCGCTAGGAAATAATCAACGATGTACGATACAACAATCGCTCTCTACAAATCAAGGCGGGAAAACGTTTGAAGCGGTTGAAATGGTGGAAATCCAAACGAGCGATGCGATGCGAGGCGGTTGTAAACTTATCAGTTACGCGCACGCGATTCCTTCATAGAGGCGTCTGTCTCCGCTTGCGCTGTCTCCCAGACTGGCTTCGGCTGCTTAATATATTACGAAACGTCGCGCGACGCCATGCATATTACAATACACGGCGCATATAACGAACTTCTTAATCCGCGCGTGACAGGAAGTGATTATAGATAGCGCGAACGCGCCGTGTAATCGCCGAAGGAAACAGAGCCCTACATCAATTTTTACGGACGTGGTTTTTATCTTGTCATGTGACGCGCCTCCTTGCGCTCATGAAAAGTCGTCCTTATCGGGAGGACGTGGTCGGGCGAAGTCGCGGTTTGCGGTCCGCCCGAGACCGCGCGATGATTTTCGTCTCGGGCCAGCCACGAAGAAAGCTCGCGACCGCACTAACGAGATAACGATAACAGTGTTCTAACGCAATCGCCGCGGCACGGCGGACGCGCATTAGCTAGAAACTCCGCCGTTCCGCCGTTGTTCGACAAACCCGATTTGAATTCGGGTTAATCCCGGCAACGGGCGGATTAATCGACTGACTTTCGCCAATCGCACGCAACGTGAGGGACGATTTCTTCTCACGGCGTGAATCGATGAACGACTCGTGCGTGAATTCCGATTGTGCGCTGGAAACGCCTCGCTTCTCCATATCGCGTCAGATAGTGATTTCATTTACAATTACACGCTTTTCAAGCATCTCCCTCGCGATACGGACTCGCTTGAACTTCGCCGAGCGAACACTCGCTCAAGTTAGACAA